TGGCATTATTGTCTTGGCCACATTAACATCAAACGCATCAAGAAACTTCTTCATGAAGGTATTCTTGACTCATTCGACTTAGAGTCGTTTTAAAATTGCGAAGGATGTCTATTTGGAAAGATGATAAAGCAACCATTCTCCAAGTTAGGAGAAGGAGCTAATGACTTATTGGGTCTTATACATACGGATGTATGTGGACCAATGAGTACACCCGCAAGGCATGGTTATCGATATTTCATCACCTTCACGGACGACTATAGTAGATATGGATATGTCTACCTTATGTCGAACAAATCTGAATCTTTTAAGAAATTCAAAAGAGTGAAGTGGAAATTCAGCTTGGCAAGAAAATCAAAGCACTTAGATCAGATCAAGGTGGCGAGTATTTGAGCCACGAATTCGATGATCATCTGAAAGAAAATGGTATTCTCTCAAAGTTGACACCTCCCGGAACTTTACAATGGAACGGAGTGTCCGAAAGGAGGAATCGAACGTTGTTAGACATGGTCCGATCAATGATGGGTCTTAGTGATCTTCCTATCTCTTTTTCGGGACACGCACTTCTAACCGTGACACTAACACTGAACCGAGCTCCATCAAAAGCTGTCGAAAAGAATCCATATGAATTATGGACGAAGAAACCTACAAGGTTGTCTTTTCTTTAGATTTGGGGTTGCGAAGTATATGTCAAGAGATTAATTTCTGACGAACTTCACCCAAAATCAGACAAGTGTTTCTTTGTGGGATACCCAAAAGAAACTAAGGGGTATTACTTCTACAACAAATTTGAGAACAAAGTGTTTGTTTCTCGTGATGGTGTCTTTTTGGAGAAGGAGCACCTTTCCAAAATGACAAGTGGGAGGAAAATTAAACTCGATGAAGTTTGAGAGGACGAGCAACAAAGTCAACCTAACAAAACTGACAATCAAAGTGCTTTAGAAGCAGCTGTTGACATTGGTCAAAGTCAAACCGTCAATGCAAATGCTCAACCCATTACCCTGCGTAGGTCGCAACAGCCAAGATCTCAATCGGACAAATACCTCGGTGTTGTCTTAACTAAACATCAAGACATCCTAATTATGGATGGAGATGAGCCAGCAACGTACAAACAAGCTATGACGATCCCCGACTTTGCAAAATGGCAAGAGGCCATGAAATCCGAGATGGACTCCATGTTTGAAAATCAAGTCTAGGACTTGGTTGATTTGCCCAAAGGTTACACACCTATCGGTTGCAAGTGGATTTTCAAGTTGAAAACCAGCAAAGATGGGAATGTATCTGTGTACAAAGCTAGATTGGTGGCAAAAGGTTATAGGCAAATTCAAGGCGTTGATTATGATGAAACCTTTTCGCCAGTCACCATGCTTAAGTCCGTTCGGATTATCCTAGCATTTGCCGAATATTATGATTATGAAATATGGCAAATGGATGTCAAAACCGCCTTCCTTAGTGGTATTTTGGAAGAAACTATGTACATGACACAGCTGGAAGGTTTTGTGGATCCAAGCAATGCTAGGAAGGTATGCAAGCTTAAGAAGTCCATTTATGGATTAAAGTAGGCAAGCAGAAGTTGGAATCTGCGATTCGATGAGGCCATTAGTAAGTTTAGTTTTATCAAGAATCTAGATGAATCTTGTGGTTACAAGAAGGTCGGTGGGAGTGACATCGCATTCCTCGTCTTATATGTCGATGACATATTGCTCATTGGAAATAGCATTCCAATGTTAGAGTCCGTAAAAGCCTGGCTTGGAAAGTGTTTTTTAATGAAAGAATTGGGAGAGGCACAGTACATATTGTGCATCAAGATATATTGGGATAGATCTAAAAGGATGATTGGATTGAGCCAAAGTACTTATATTGATAATATACTGGCACGATTCAACATCGAAGGGGCCAAGAGAGGGCACCTACCCATGTCACATGGTATAACTCTCAGCAAGAAGCAGTTTCCACTAACACCTGATAAGCGAGAGAGGATGAATCAGATTCCATATGCTTCACTTATTGGATCGATCATGTATGCCATGATATGTACTAGGCCGGATGTATCGTATGCCTTGAGTGCTACGAGCCGATACCAATCAGACCCAAGAGAGGCGCATTAGACTACAACAAAGAATATCCTAAAGTACCTGAAAAGGAACAAGCAAGGATAAATTCCTGGTCTATGGTGGAAGTAATGATTTGGTTTTTGAAGGTTATACCGACGCAAGCTTCCAAACTGACAGAGATGACTCCAAGTCGCAGTCAAGGCACATATTCTGTCTAAATGGAGGAGCGTTTAGTTGGAAGAGTGCTAAGCAAAGCACTACTACAGATTCTACAACTGAAGCCGAATACTTGGCAGCTTTAGAAGCAGCTAAGGAGCAGTTTGGATTCGTAAGTTCATTAGTGAACTTGATGTTGTACCCTCCATCAAGGGTCCGATAGACCTCTATTGTGATAACAATGGAGCTATTGCTCAGGCCAGGGAGCCAAGGGAACATTAGAAGGTCAAACATGTCAAGAGGTGATTTCACATGATAAGGGAAGGAAGTCCGAGGGTGAAATCAGAATTTGTAAGATTGGAACGGACGACAATGTAGCCGATCCACTCAGTAAACCTTTACCTCAAGTGAAGCACAACAAGCACGTTGAGGCAATGGGAATCAGGCACGTTGGAGATTGGCTTTGATTTCCTTGTTCATGTGTTTTAATTAAATTTGAGTTTTTTAATGTAAAACACTATGTTGAACCATTCGCTTTTGGAGTAATTTAATTTTCTGCAAAATTATTATCACTCCATTTCTATTTAATTATGGTAATAATGAGTCCATTCGATTTCTAAGAATATTCAAAACAGGGTATCAAGACAATGTCTTGGATAAAGAAACACTTGTTAAGTGAACATTGAATATTTCAATCGAAAATTATCCCTAATCAAGGTCATTTGAATGATGGATGATTAATGACCACTAGAGATTAGTTTGTAGTGTGATTTATAGCACTGTTTCTTGTGCTATAAGGACATGATTATCATAAATCATTTGCACAGGTATTGTTTTGGAACTATACCGGATCAACCTATGAGAATACTTTAAGAGATTTAAAATCGTCATAAGTATATCTCTCATTATAGCTATCGGAACCTTTTTTCTCTACCATGAGTATTGTAAGTTCTCTTGTTTGAGTACTAGTCCGTTTTGATGTTTTCAAACGTCTGCCGTAAATGGGGATTATAACGGCAACACTCGGGCGGCTAGGTCCTCTTAGTAAGGGAAGCTAACAATACAAGACTGGGAATGTCCTTCTATTAACGACAGGGAACATGCCTTCGTTGTTTACAAGGCCTCTCGAAGAGCGAGATTGTGAAAATGCATGGTCGTGCTCAGATGGATTTTAGAAATCATCTGCTTATTGACAGTCAAACTCGGAAATCGAGAAGCACTTCTGTACGTAATAAGGATAACGAAGAATCTTACCTTATAATTCATGAAGAGACATTAAGTGACATAGGAAATGGGCTATACACTAACTGCACACTTGTCCGGAAGGACAAGTGGGAGATTGAAAGGAATGGTGTCCTTCCAACAAGTGTATTATTCCGATAGAGGGTTCGGAATTATTAGAAAGCTAATTATTCAGTGAGGTCAAGTGATCGGAATGCAAGCTAGAGGTCCTTTCCGATTAGTTATATTAATGTATAATTAATATTACAACTTAATCTTGACTGAACCCTTCGGGTCACACCTTAATCGAGTAACCGATCCAAGGCGACGAATCAATCCAAAGGATTAGATGAGTCATTAGAGTATTACGAACAAAGACGTCGGATATCGAGCTTAAAGTGTGGTAACCGAGCGTCGTAAGTCGAGTCGAACTTAGAATTCGACGAGACGAGAAATCAAGCAAATGACAAGTTCAAGCTAAGTCGTAGCTTCGCATTGGCCTAGCCATGCAAAGGCTAAGCCAGCATAGGGCACCAACTGTATCGCATGGCTGTGCCTCAAGCCAAGCATGCATGAGCGTGTTAGGCTTGCTGGCCGAGCATGCTTGTGGGCTGGTGCACCTAGTCGCACGCATGCTAGTAGCTGGAGCGCCATGAGTGCTAGCGTACTAGTGTGCTGGGCCTCGCACCCAGCCGCAAGCAACGCAGCAGTTAGGCTGCGCCTAGCACAAGCATAAGCAACGCAACAGCAGCAGCAGCCCGCATGGCGTGCGTGGCCTGCTAGCTGTGTGTAGGCTTGTGCGGGCTGCCTGGAAGGCCCACCCATGATGCTAGGCAACCAAGGCATGCTGCCAGCTAGCTCATGCGTGGCCAGCTCATGCATGGTGAGCACCTAGTTTTTGGTGGATTGCTTGGGGAGCAAGGGGAGTTTGGTCCCCCCATTGTGGTCCTCACCTAACCCCCTTACTCACCTCTTGACACTTGGCTTTTGTTGATTCACTTGCATTTTCAATTTGAATTTGAATTAAAATAAATTGAATAAAGTGCATTTTTACCAACTCTCTGACATTGATGGGAGATTTGAATTCAAGGCTCCCTTCCCTATAAATACCCATCATTTGGGATTGGGAAGGGACACTTGAGTTGTGAATTTTAAGGGATCTCCAAGAAGAGAATACCATAATTTTAATACTCTAAGTTTTCTTAGTCTAGCCCCGACTAAGCTTCGGGGTAGGGACCGTTCGGGTCGGATCTCGAGGGTGAGAGCCATTAGAGGCTTACGCATTTGCGGAGCTAACGCTTTCAAGTACGAGCTCTTAGAAAGAGCAAAGCACGCGTCAAGGGTAAGATCGTCTTTCTCTCTCCTTGTTAATTAATTATGTAATTGTTAATTAATTAATATCCATGTTTAGTTACTTTAATTTGTGTGCGGATTTTGGGAGGGTTTTATTCCGCATAGTGTCGGACACAACGAAACCCAATAGTGAGTGCAATCATTCAAAATAAACTTACCCGAAAGCTTGGTGACCCCAGTAGTTATGCAATACTGGTGAAGATTGGAGATTTGGAAGCTATGGATGCTTTGTGTGATCTTGGGGCAAGTGTAGGCTTGATGCCCTATTCTATTGCAAAGAGCTTGAATGTTGGAGACTTGAAGCCAACAAGAATGTCCCTACAATTCGCCGACCGCACTGTTAGGCTACCTTTGGGAATTCTAGAAGATGTACCGGTGCAAGTTGGAAGAGATTTTGTGCCATGTGATTTTGTGGTAATGGAGATGGAAGAAGATACAAGGGTACCCCTCACTTTGTGCGGAGACCGTTTTTGAACACCACGGGAGTGGTGATTGATATGAAGGAAGGAATATTTAATTTGAATCTGGGAGATGAAAAGATTTCATTTTCATTCTCACCAACTTTGAAAAAACTATTGATTGATGAGGTTTGTAGAATTGACACATTAGAGAGGACTTGGAAGAGTTCCAAGAAGGATTGTATGAAAGAGATCCTTCACAAGCTATCCTAACGGGAGGCTTAGTTGAGGAGGGTGAAGAAGCAAGGGGGTATGATCTATTGCTCAACCAACCTTTAATCCACGATGTAATGAAATGTGAAGTACTTGACGTGAAAGTAAAAGAGGAGAGGACTACGCCTCCTCTTAAGGTTGAACTTAAACCCCTTTCCCCTCTACTTAAATATGCTTTTCTTGATGATAGTAAAAGTTATCCCGTTATTATCAATGCTAAGCTTGATGACACTTCTCTTGAGAAACTCCTAGTTATTCTAAGGGAGTATAGAAGTGTCATTGGGTATAAAATTGATGACATTAAGGGGATAAGTCCCACCATATGCATGGATAAGATCTTACTTGATGATGATCATGCTTCCTCAATTGAGCATCAAAGAAGGCTCAATCCTAACATGAAGGAAGTTGTGAAAAAAGAGGTTTTAAAACTTCTTGAAGCGAGCATAGTCTACCCTATCTCCGATAGTAAGTGGGTTAGCCCAGTTCAAGTTTTGCCTAAGAAAAGAGGCATGACCATCATTAAGAATGACAAGGGTGAGACCATTTCTACAAGGTCGGTCACCGAGTGGAGATTTTGCATTGATTATCGAAAATTGAATATGTCCACCTGGAAAGACCACTTTCCACTCCTCTTTATATATCAGATATTGGAAAGATTGGCATCATATAGTCATTATTGCTTCTTGGATGGATATTCGGGATTCTTTCAAATCTCAATCTAACCCGAGGACCAAGAAAAGACTACTTTTACATGCCTATTTGGCACCTTTGCATATTGAAGGATGTCATTTGGACTTTGTAATGCACCTTCCACTTTTCAAAGGTGTAAGATGTCCATTTTTTCCGACATGCTTGAATCATCTATTGAGGTATTCATGGATGACTTTTCGGTTTTTGGGTCATCCTTTGACACTTGTCTTTCAAATTTGGTCAAAGTGTTAAAAAGGTGTCAAGAGGTGAACCTAGTTCTAAATTGGGAAAAATGTCATTTTATGGTAGAGGAGGGAATTGTACTTGGTCATGTGATTTCTAGTAGGGGAATCGAAGTTGATCGTGCCAAAATTGAGGTAATTGAGCACCTTCTACCCCCCACAAATGTGAAGGGGATTAGGAGCTTTCTTGGACATGAAGGCTTTAACCGCCGGTTTATTAAGGATTTTTCTAAAATCGCAAAGTCGCTCACTCAATTGTTGGTAAAGGATACCCCTTTTGTGTTTAGTAATGATTGCTTGCTAGCTTTTGATTGGTTGAAGGAGGCTTTGATTCTGGCTCCTATTAGGGGTGAGCAAAGACCCAGGGTACACGGTACCGGACCCGGAACCGGTTAAGACCCGCCGGGTCCGGACCCGGAACTGGTCTTACCGGTTCCGAGACCAGGTCCAAAGTGTCGGATCCGGTTGTAACCGGTTCCGGGACCGGAACTTAAAATTTCGGACCCGGTACCCACTGGGTACCCGGTTAAAACCAATTCCAGTTCCGGGTACCCAGTCCCGGATCCAGACAACCCGGGTACCCGGAACCGGTACCGAGTTATTTATAAAATTTTAGTTTATTTTTTTTAAAAACCCAACACTCCAACAGCCCATTAGCCCATTTATTCATTTTTCACGGTTTTTAGTCCTATTACTCTAGGGTTTTCTAATTTTCCTTCCAGCCTCCATCTTCTCTTTTCTCATCCTCTCTGACTTTTCTCATCCTCTCTTTTCTCATTCTCTCCTCAAAATCTAATCCTTCATGAGTTCCTGAACTCGGAACTTGTGGGCGTGAATGAAATTTAGGCTTTGCTCATGTTTCAGATGGTAATTGTAGCAAATAAGATCCGTTTCCAAGCTTTCCAGGTTGTCTTTAAAGTCTTTTGTTCCATTGTAAGAAACAAGTACGTCCTTTGTCCTGTATAGTTCTCTTGTATTTGAAAATTTCCAGACTTGTTTTTATCAGTATTTCCCTTTACTTACCTGACTTCACTCTAATGATGCTGTTATTTGCAATAACTGTGGTATATACACTTTTCACGAATAATAATTGTTTCATCATAGAATAGAATCCTTTATTGCTGGGAAAACTTTCTCTATTCTCATATCGTATCAGTATGTTTCTCTAATCTCACAGCTTACAAGACCAGACAGTATAACAATTATTAAAAAAAAAACAGTATTTTACTACTTTGAATAATACCGGGTACCCGGTTTTGGAACCGATTCCGGGACCAGTTCTAATTCTTGGGACCCGGTTATAACCAGTTCCGGATCCGGGTATTGCAAATATGACCGGGTACCCAGTCTTGCTCACCCCTAGCTCATATCATCCAACCACCAAATTGGGAGCTTCCTTTTGAGCTCATGTGTGATGCTTCGGATTATGCCATTGGATCCATTCTTGGGCAAAGGAAGGACAAGAAGCTCCATGCCATCTACTATACTAGCAAGACATTGGATGAAGCACAAAGAAATTATACAACCACCGAGAAAGAGTTTCTAGCCATTGTCCATGCCATTGAGAAGTTTAGGTCCTACTTGTTGGGCTCTAAGTCATAGTCTTCACCGACTATTCGGCCTTGAAATACCTCTTATCCAAGAAGGAACCTAAAACAAGATTGATATGGTGGGTCTTGCTCTTGCAAGATTATGACATTGAGATTAGAGACAAAAAGGGTGCCGAAAATGTGGTGGCCGATCATCTTTCACGGTTGCCTATCTTTGTAGGTGATCTAGATAACTTGCGAATTGATGATTCATTTTCCGGATGATCAATTATTTGCTATCCTTCAAGCATCGGCACCATGGTTTGCGGACATTGAAAACTATTTTTCTTTCTCTATTCTTCCTCCCGACCTCACCTATCAACAAAAAAGGAAGTTTCTCCATGATATTCGCCAATACTTTTGGGACGGCCCCTTGCTTTTCAAACAAGGTGTTGATGGCCTTTTTAGAAGGTGTGTTCCAGATGATGAGATTGAAGGTGTTATCACAATGTGTCACTCCTCACCTTGTGGAGGGCATATGAGTACTAACAAAACTTTTGGCGAAAATCTTGCAATGTGGTTTCTATTGGCCTACAATGTTCAAGGATGTGTGGGGCGTAGTGAAGGCTTTTGACTGGTGTCAAAGAATTGGTAATATATCAAGAAGAAGCGAAATGCCCTTGAACAACATACTTGAGTTGGGAATAAATTCCCTACCTCTTTTGGGAATAAATTCATCCTTGTGGCCGTCGACTATGTGTCAAAATAGGTAGAAGTGGTTGCATCTCCTACTAACGATGCTAAAGTGGTGGTCAAGTTATTCAAGAAGGTAATTTTTCCGAGGTTTGGGGTGCCACGCGCCGTCATTAGTGATGGAGGATCGCATTTTGCAAAGCGATCCTTCCAAGCCCTTCTTGAAAAATACGATGTTAGGCACAAAGTGTCATTGGCTTACCACCCCTAAACAAGTGGTTAAGCCGAGATTTCAAATCGGGAGATAAAAATGATCTTAGAAAAGACGGTGGATAGATCTAAAAAGGATTGGTCTATGAAACTAGATGATGATCTATGGGCCTACCGCACCGCATTCAAGACTCGCATTGGCACCACACCATACAAGCTTATATATGGGAAATCATGTCATTTGCCGGTAGAACTTGAGCATCGTGCTTATTGGGCTATTAAAACCTTGAACTTTGATCTTTAAAGTGCCGGTGAAAAGAGGTTGATGGACCTCCATGCCTTGGAAGAACTAAGATTTGATGCATATGAGAGTGCACGGATCTACAAGGAAAAGGCCAAGACTTGGCATGACAAGCATATAAACAAAAGGGAGTTCAAGGAAAGTGACAAAATCTTGCTATTCAATTCCCGCTTGAAGTTGTTTCTGAGTAAGCTAAAATCAAGATGGAGTGGGGCTTTCACTGTCAAAAGGGTGTTCCCATATGGTGCAATCGAAATCTCCAATAGAAATGGTGAATTATTCAAAGGGAATGGCCAAAGACTAAAGGAATACTTTGATGATTTTGTGCATGAAGAGGCCAGAGTCGTTCACCTTGATGAATTTGATGTTCCTTATTCACGTTGATCCCACAATGTCGTCAAGCTAGTGACATTAAGGAAACACTTCCGAGAGGCAACCCGATCGAGTTTCTCACCCTCTCTCATAAACTATTATTTCATTCCTCTTATTTTTAATATCCTTGTAGGTATAACCGATGAAAGGAGAAGTGAGAAAAGAATTTTTGGATGAAATAATTCCAATAATAATGATAATATATATATATACACACACACACACATACACACACACACACACACAACTACAAAAATGGCCTAGGAGGCCGACCAATATATGCCTAAGAAACCGGAAAAATTCCGGTGCCTAGGTAGTAGGTCTCTTAGCCTAACAGACCAGATATATTGTTTGGTATCTTAGATTAAGCAAAGAGACTTGTTCTACCTTACAACAGGTTTCTTAGATTCTTCTTAAACCATAAAACAACCAAGGCAAAGGCACCGGATATTATGGATATCCGATTTCCTAGATATAGTCTAAGAAACCGGTTTAAAGAGATGACCGATCTCTTTGGTTATTTTTTTTTTTTTTTAAAAAATAAAAAATAATTTTGTGGTTGTTGCTTTGCCCCACGATTAGTTCTCAACATGGATATCATCACTTATTATAGATCTATGCATCTATCTAATTTAATTAAAACATATGAATCAGTTAAGACTAGTTACAAAAAAAATCTTAATTATTAAAATTATAAAATAAAAAAGTACTCATGAATCTAATACATATTAGGCAATAAATTTATACATGAACAATAGTGAAAATTGTCTACTGTATCAAAACTCTCAGACGAAATAAACAAGTATACTCCGTACTAATAATTGAACATACAAATTAACCAACTAAATGGCATCTTTTTTTTATTATAAAGTCATATTAAAATAACTTCAACTATCATATATTAGATTTTTATGATTCAAGTAACTACATAAAACTCTAATAACAATTTGATCCTTCTTGGATTCAATCAGACGAGTTATCTGTTTGTAATTCCTTCACTTGCATATGCTTCGAGTCTTCGATGCTTCGTATATCATTTTTATTGTGACTTGGCAAACTTAAAGCCGTATTACTGCAAAGATAAATAGAAAATCAATCAAATTTCAACATAAAAAAAAAATAGCATTTACACATTGCTCAATTAATTTTATATTTAAAAAAACATATCATAATTGAACAATACTATTCAAGAAAACGTAAGACCTGGTGTGTGTGCTTGAATTTCGTAAAGTTAGAACAATTTTACCTGGAGATTGCCTGAAATTTCAGGGATTCAAATAGCGATCTCGGTGTTTCATGATAGTAGCTGGTTAGTAGACAGTTACTATTAGGATGATAAAGAAGAAAACCATTTTTAAAAGGTTAAGAAATGACATAAGTGATTTTTTGACATAAAAATGAATGAGAAAATCAGATATACATACAAGATATAATAGAGAAGTTTATAGAACTAAGTTTAAATTAGAGGAGTTGAGGAATTGCAGTAGTGGGTGGCAGGTAGACTAGGTAAGCTTTTAGGGTTTTTTTTTTTATATATATATATATATATATTATCATAGGAGAATACCAGTAAAAATTAAATATTAAAATGAATTTAAACTGGTTTTAAATGACTCTAAAAACCCGTAAATCTCTCATATAAGGTTCCTTTGAAATAAGAAACCAGATTTTAATTATATATGATTTCCTATTATTATTCTAAAAAATCCGACATCTCTCATACATGGTTCCTTTATCTAGAAACCACATTAATGATTTATATGGTGCCTTATGATTGGTTCCTTAGGCCTCTTTGTAATAGTGATATATATATATATATATATGTATGTATGTATATATATGTATGTATATATATATATATATATATATATATATATATATATAAGGGGTTAAAATGTGCAGCATCAGGTCTACACGGACGTGCAGATCATCGCACGTCCGTGCAGGTGAAGACAGTGCCGACCAGGAACTACAATTGCAAATTCCCATTTTGGCATGGACGTGCCAGATATCAACTTGCCCGTCCTTCGTTATGCACGTCCGTGCCAAAATCGGCACGTCCGTACGTAGCATAGCAGAATGAAACTTTGATTCTAGTTAAGGTTGCACATCCGTGCCCCAAGCTGCACGTCTGTGCAGCCTCAGGTCGAAGAACAGCAGCAGTAGCAGCACGTCCATATAAAAAAAAAAAAAAAAAATTAACCATCACTTTCTCACTCCTCTTCCTCTCTCTACTTCCTCCTTCCTCCTTCCTCCTCCATTACTACTACTCCAAATCCTTCAAACACTCA